AATGTCAATAACTAGGTGCTTGTTCACTGCTCCACTCATTGGAAAATTTTTCTTAGCTTGTTTTTCAGGGCTTTCCTTGAATATCGTTCGAATGCAATATACCCCATTTTTAGCTTGTTCTTGCATATAGGACACACTCACTCAAAGACTAAAAGTAAGCTTTCCTTCTCCTTCATGTGGTCACACAGAGCTTCCCATGTGGCCACAGAGGCAACCTGGGGAAGAGTGCTATTGGAATTGTTGTGAGGGTCACGCTGTCTGCTCTTCTTGCTCATGCAGTTAATGTTTTCACCATCCTGATCAGGCTCAATCCCAGATACATCTTCCCATTTTACAACAGACTACCACTAGCCTATACAATTTAGTGATTTGGCATATCCAAAAGATCCCGATTTACAATGTGCAATTCTAGGTCCATAGTCACTACGTGCCCCACAAGGTGCCTGTACCACTCCCAATAGCTTGCCAAGCACTGTTCCTTAAAAGACACATAATTCCATGTGGCAAGTGGTGTGGCCTTGCCCCAGAATAACAGAGGCCTGCATTACTATTCTGCCAATGGAAGTTGTCATAAAACACTGCACCTTTCCCACCACTGACAACTCCAATACCTTGAGATCTGCTATATTACATGGCCCAAGTGGAAAAACTTTATACAGTAGCCTGGACCTGCTCACTCAAAACTGGCACCTTTCTATGTCACATTTGTATGTTTGGAATGCATTGCTTCCGCAAACCAAAGAGACTTACCAGTTACATCTCTACTTTGGGATAACAAATGCAAAATACACCGATTTTATTTTTACTTTAAGGAAGATATACCTTGTCACACTTTTGACCACTGAGTCCCTGAAAATTTTCTCGTGTCAAATCCTTGAATCTCCATAGGATTTATCATCAATACTCTGGAACACGGGGCTGGGGATCTAGCTCAGCAACAAAGCGCCTGCCTGGCAAGCACAAGGTTGTGAGTTCGGTTCCTGGTACCGGAGAAAAACCAAAAAAAAAAAAAAAAAAAATACTCTGGAACACCATGACCTTTAGTGTATTAGCCCCTTCTTGTTCATCCTGAACAAAATCAGCTTGATGCCATCAGCACAATCTATCAGCGGGCTATCCCACAATCCAAATCTGTTCAAACCTGAGGTGCTTGATGAAGGGCCAGGGAATACAGAATGGGCAGTAGAAAAAGATAGTTAGAAATAGCAGCTATGAACACATACCACTTACAGAAACAAGGATTGTAATTGTCATCATTATTTCTTTTCTATTTTAATATTGTTTGCATATATACACCTATATTAAGCAGATGTCTTTGTTTTCTTTATTTGTAATATAATGTGCATTGACATACTATTAGCACGTAAGCATTGTTAAATCTACGTTGTGATATTTAAGTTATAGAATGTCAGGAGAAATGTAAGCAAGCATCACCAAAAGAAAAACTTTGTCATTTGTTCTGGGGAGGGAATTAGTTTGTTTTCCTTTACCCAAGATAGTTGTTTCATGTTGGGCACAATTATGGACTTACAATTGCATGTGGAGATTAAGTATGGTGTAAAGAGATATGTCTGGTTGTCAAATTGGCAAGGGGCAGATTATGATCATGACATGTCAGACTGACTTGAGTAAGAGCCCCCTAGCAAATTAGTAAAGTTATTGACGTGTCTGTAGGCCAGCAAACTGAGTGGGAAAGATCCACTCCAGCTGTGGGTGGCACCAACCAATACGCTGATAGCCTAGCAAGTATTGTTCCACTGAGCTACAGCCCCAGCCCCCCTGACTCTCACTTTTAAATGAAATAACAAAGAATGTAGACACCATATCAATCACCACATACTATGTGGCAAGGCATGATTAACCTGCTTTACCCATTACACAATTTCCAGCAAAGCAGCTGTAATTGGAGCCATTAACTGTTTGACCTTGAACTCCTAAATGTTCTGATAGGTACCCAGTCTTGATATTGTTTAATTCTAGGACACTTACTGCTTAGCAGACATTCTAGAAATGTTTTTATAAGTGAATTAGTAGAGTGTAAAGTTCAAGAAGATATCTGTGAATTTAGGTTGATTTAAATGACCTGACCCTAGCTCATGGGGCTATTATAAAAGTCAAATGAATTACTAAATAGAAAAGGTTTACAATGATGGCTGGCACATAAGCACTCACTAAATCTTAGCAATTTATTTTTCCAAATCATAGATAATCATCCGATATGATAGAGAGATGTGACATTACACTAATTCCTTGATCAAAGGTTTAAACGAAATATGAGAGATATACATCACTCTTAAAGTGAAAGCACCTGGAATAGTTTTCCTGATGGTGCCAGGTTTCCAAGAAAAACTCCAAAGCAAAATAACTGTAAAGCTGGAAAGAAGCTGGGAATGACGGTGGTACGTGCCTGTAAGCCCAGCGCTGTGCAAAGTTGAGGCTGGAAAATTGCAAGCTCAATCCCATCCTGCACAACTTAGTGAGACCCTGTCTTTAAAGAGAGAGCAGGAGGGAGAGGAGGAGGAGGGCAGGGGAGAAAAGGGGAAGGTAGAGAGGAGGGAAGGGAAGGGAGGGTGATGGAAGGGAAGGATGAGGGGAGGGAATAGGAGAGGAGACAAAGGGAAGGGAAGGGGGAGGGGAGAGGGAGGAGAGGGGAAAATTACTTATAGATACAGACATCTAACCTAATGAGCAAAAAAGGTGGTTACCATGAGTCAGTTCACTACAGCACTATTTTTAATAAAACTTCATATAATCTCAAAGTTGAAATTCTTGACAAATGCTTTTGATAATAATAATATAAGCCATAACCTTGAAATAAAATTATTGTATTTGTGCTCACTAATCATTTCACAAAATGACACTTTCTGCTACCTAAATGTCTGTTTCTATATAAAAACAATTAAATAAATTGTACATTCACATTTTTTAATCTCTCACATAGGTCAGTATAAGAATAGGTACAAGAAAATAAAAGGCTATAATGACAGACCACACATACATTTCTAGTCTTCATTAGGACCAATATTTTTCTTCTTGCATAATACTGTGCTTTGAAAGGATCCAAAGCTGTTGTCATCTGGCATGAGGTTGGAGATCCCATTTTAAATGATATTGATAACTGTCAGGTTATGCCAAGTCTCATAAAACTTTCCCAGCAATTGTCACAGTCAGAGCTATGAAATAATTCCAAGGTCACTAAGCATGAATTCACATTTGCTGCTTTCAAGAGAGCTAGCAATGGGGTCATTGGACGAGATCTAAACATGACTTCTTTCATTTAAAAAAAAAAAAGGCTAAGCCACCATAACAAGTCTCCCACTCTGTTATAAATATGCCACCTCACAACTAGGCTTAGGTGACCTCAGAATTTAAGAAATCGCTCTATTGCTTTTTTGTCAATATCTCTTTGTTATGGAGCCTTCTGGAACAGTCACCAGATTGAATTTATTCTGCTAGAGAGTCAGTTGCTTACTAGCACTTTTGACATCCAGCTGGTATAAGACAAAGGCGAAACCAGGGATAACTCCCAAGTGTAACCAGTGGAAACTCTCTTTTGCTGAAGGACTCTAGTCTACTGGGCTTTGAGCCAGAGCTTGTGTTCTTTCGCAATATCTCAATACTGCTATGGCCTTTTCTATAACCCTTGTAAGTCAAGTCACCAGAGAGGCCAAGAGTTAAACTGGCTGTACAGCCTGAACTGGGAAGTTTGGAAGTGAATCCGAATGGATCAATAGCCTGGACCTGTTACATGAATAAACAGAGGCATTCAGGCTTGGGATCCTATAAAGTTAAATCAATATTAGTTATAGAGGAAATCCTGTTTATTCTTTCTTCTGTTGTAGTTGCTTTTTAGAAAGAACTCAAGAAAAGCTTTTCAGTAGCCATAAAGCAAAAGACAAAACAAAACAAAACAAAACAAAAAAAAAAACTACACAAAACACACACAGAGTATTTGTAACCAAATAAAAAGCCAATCATTGTTGTCTTTGCTATTAGGTACATGAGAATTACAAGTTCTTGCCCAATAATGTTGAACTATAAAACTTAAAGTACCTCAATTCGTGATATGGGAGACACTCATCTAGGTTCTGATGCTATGTAGCCACTTTGTCACGATTATGAAGGTAAAAATAAATGATCTTTATTAAAACCCTTTAGTTCTGCTTATTTGGGGCAAATTTCTCTCAGTAGTCATTGCCTAAAAATTACATATCACGAAGTCTGAGTAATCCAGTGTTTAAACTTCTAAGGCTCTAAAACAATGATTTCCAACCTCTTTGAAGTTGTGACACCCTATTTTGTTTGTTAGATTTCACAACTTATTCCTCCTGTCATGTCAATCCCATATACCCACGGGAAAAAATTAATCTATTATTTATATTTTGAACATTTAAATGAACTTAACTTAATATTATTTTGCTTCAGCATTTTGTTTGTTGGTTTATTTTCCTTTATTGTTACCTCTTTTTGAAGTCTAATCCATCATAAAGCTTAAGTCAGAATTATCCTCTCCTCCTGCTCTATTCTTTTAGCTCTTCATGTAAATCTACAGTCTGCCAAAAAAAATGTACACCCCTTGAGGAAAAGAAGAATAGCATGATGTTTTTTTCAACAGATGGTGTTACCCTCATATGGGGGACCCTAGAGGATGTCGCATATTTCAGAAAGCCCACTGCTGGCCCTTAGAGGAGAAATTGAAAATGCATGTGCATCTCAATGGTCAAGGTTACCCAAGCAGCAATAATAAGTGTCTGACGGCTAATGGCCACTACTCTGAGCACCTTTTGTAACTGTAGAGGCCAAAGGTAACTTGTATAAATCTCATGATGTTTCAACAAATTTAGTATTACAATATTTATACAAGTTTTTCTTTTCCTGAAGTGCGCATACATTTTTTGGCTTACTCTGTATATTACACCATTTTAACATCACATTTTTGTGGTTAACCTTAAATATTTATTGTTGTCTTAAATGTAAAAATTCATTTTTTTCCAGAATTTCTAATACAGTGCTTAATACAGATGGAGATTCAATAAATATTAGTTGAATGAATTAATTAATGAATGAGCAATGGCCTTGGAGGCAGAAACATACCTACATGATGTCAAAAATACCAGCTAGAGAATCACTGTTCCAGTAGTTTAAAGATATACCCAGGTAAGATCTTCTATTCAAATCTAATGAGAGAATGGTTTCAAAAACAGTTTTTAACTGTGAAATTCTATATAGTGAGAAAATATCACCGTTGCTTACTACTTAGTAGCCTTCAGAGGATAGTTTCTGAATTTATGAATCAACAATCAGTGAACACAAGAATGCTTTTGCTTCATTGGAATAGGAAAACCATGTAAAGATTAGTAAATGAAAGCAACTTGACAAAAATTGTCCTCTAACATATTAGGACAATTGGGGCTTGCTGAAGCTTTCTGAAATACTTAATTCTATGTCCTGATCAAAACTGACAATTTTTAGGTGCTTGTGATTTGAATAATTCTATACAGTAGTCCCAGAAATATGTTTCCTGGTTCCAAATATGTATGCTTAATTGGTCAAGGAAACATGCTACATTTGGATAACTCTACTGAGAGACTAAAATAACTGACAAAGTTTGTAGTGACCATTGATAGTAAGCTTCAGTGATTCTGAAAGAGGCAATAAAAATATCAGGGCAATTTGACAAGCTTGTGTGGTTGAAATAGATGTTAGAGGTAGCCAAAGTTCACAAATTATGTCAATGAAGCTGAATTCCATTAAGTCAATAAGTAACTAAGGAAATAGTTAATTGAGATACAATCTCAAACTAGAAAAACAGGATAAATCAAAGAAGATAGAGTAATAATCACATTTCTCGATAGTCACATGCTATCAGATGGCAGAATCTGATGTCTAAAAGATAAATCAGACATATTTCAAAAGTAGAAAAGTAGGCCATGGGCAAGGGTATGAATAAGTCTATAAAAGTGGTCAAATGGGAATCTTTCTGAACAGCAGATGATGTCCTCACAGAGGGGAATTTCCTAAAACCAATTAGAACGAGTTCCTACACTGCAAGCATAATCTGCCTGAAGTCGCACAGCTAATAAGTTGCAAAATGGGTTTCCAAAACCAAGTTGACATCAAAGCCCATGTCCTCCGTACTGCCAAATGAGGGATAATCAAGTTATGTGTCACACTGTCAGGTTGTGTTTTTTCTTGTACCTGCTCTAAATCTAGTCTCTGGAGAGTCATGAATCAGGGCAACAGAAACAACAGTAATCTTTGTGCTTGTCCACCTCAAATTTATATCCAAATAATTGGATTTCTGAATTGAAACCAAGTAGTTGAAGTTCTGAAGCAACTAATCTATTTCTCACCTAACTACTAATCTTAGGGTGCACTATATTCTCTGTATTAGATGAATGGATAAAGAAAATATGGCATATATACACAAAAGGTATATACAGCCATAAAGAAGAATGAAATCATTTCCAGGACAATGGATAGAACCAGAGGCCATCATGTTAAGCAAAATAAGCCAGTCTCATAAAGTTAAAAAGCACATATTTTCTCTTATCTAAGCAAATTTTAAGTGAGTAAATAAAGGACATATGACAAGAAACTAGAAGGTAGACTTTTAGATATTAGGAAATGGATCAGGGGGAAGAAGAAGAAAGGGAGAGAAATAACGGGGATGAAATTAGTCACAATATGTAATATACATCTACATATGTAATTAGTCAAAATATGTAATATACATACCAAAATACCAAAATGAACCTTATTATTTCATATTACTAATATATACAATTAGAAATTCTTCTCTCTCTTTTCTGAGAACTGGAGAGAAATATCTATTTATCCATTATTTTGTTTACCAAGCAATTATTGAATAACTGTCATATGTCAGTAGCTGGAGACAGCGATTAATAGAAAAAGATTCCTGCTATTAAGAAGCACATAGTGTCTGAGAAAGGAAAGAGGAAGTAGAGACAGACAGGCCAGTAATTATAATACAATGAACAATGTAGCACTGCTATTGGGAACTTTAAAAGTAGTAAATATAGGGATGTTCATTGGGAGAAAATCTCTCTTCCAAAGTGCTGATTTTTCTTTCTCAGTGGAAAGGGCTCCACTAGTGCAGTATATCCAAACTTCCTGTACCCCTCAACACTTCCATTCCTAAAGAATGAGAGATTACTTAATCTGTTGGATGAATGTAAAGGAAAGTGTGCATATAACACAACCCCTTGAACTTCTGTCTGTCTCCCTCCCTTCCTCTCTCCTCCTCCTTCTTCTTATTCTCTCTCTTTCTCACTCTGCTCTGCAGCCTGCCTGCAAAATATTGATTTCTTGTTCCATACCTTAAGTTTTCTAGAGGCAGACTCCATGTAAGGAAACCTACAGAAGTTCAGCACTGTCTGTGCCTAGGAGTTCACTCTCAGGAATCCTTCTTCTTCATATAAGCTACATTTTCCAACAGCCATTTGATCTGTAATAAATGCATTACTTCTCAAAAGACAGTGTAGGGGCTGGGGATTTAGCTCAGTGGCACAGTGCCTGCCTGGCAAGTGCAAGGTCATGAGTTCAATTCCTGGTACTGGAAAAAAAACCTTTCAAAAGGCAGTGTAATATAGTAGCTAGATGCATAAATTCTGAAATCAAACTGGTTTATACTCTGAGTTTGTCACTCAATAGCCATATGACTTTGAGCAAATTGCATAATTTCTCTGTGTTTCAATTCTTTACCTACAAAATAGGACTGATAGTATCTATGCTGGGTTGTTGTGACGAATGAGTTAATATATATAAGGCACTTAGAATAATGCCCTGCACAAAAATGAGTGCTTTGTACATCTACACTATCATTACTATTATCATTACCTATCTGTCTGTTTTAATCTTTTATTTTTCAATTTATACAAAATCCAGGCAGAAAGGAGAAGTGCTATTTACTGGGATCCTCATTCTCACCTCAAACAATCTTAGAAGTTTGAGAAGCCTCACTCAAGTCTTAGAGCCATTATCTTCTTACTTATAGTTCGTGGCTCCTTGCTAGATGAAATTAGAAAGACTCTATCAATAGATGACAAATGCCAGGCCAAGCATCTCAGACTTTAGCTGAAACTGGATTGACATTGATTCTTTTGACCTCTAAACCTGCAGGCAACTCTTTACTTGATTCTCAAAGGTTCTGGTGTCCCTCAGATTATCTATATATTCTACAGGTCTCTCCTTGCCCAGGCCCCTGCACATCCTACCTTTGTTTTTGCAGAGCCCACCTAGGAATAGAAGGTTCTTTTCCACCCACCCACAACAATTCTTACCTTTGATTCAGACTTCAGGTAAGCCACAATATTTGGGATATAATGTGTTATGTACAGTTAAGAGGTATCTCTAAATGGAACTACAAGAGTGAAGCAGTTAGGATAGGAAATAGATGGTGTACTTAAAAGGAGTGATTAAAGAGAGTTTAATACAAGATTTATTTGCAAAGGTGTAGGCAGAGTTGGGGATAATGAAGCATCAATACTGAGAAATTGTTCCTACCCTTAGGCCCGAAGAACCAAAGGAAAGGAGTTACTACCAAAATCAAGAAAGAAAGCTATAGAAGAGGGTTACCTGAATGGAACTCTATTTTAATAGGTTGGCCTGTGACAACTCAAGGCCTGGAAGACAGGAAGGCATAGAAATAGTCGCATAGTATTGCTCCTTTGTATCATTGGTACTTATTCCAGAGCCTCTCATTGTTTGACCATACCAGAAAGCTGGAGGGCAAGTAAATTTGAATAATGTTGGGCCTTAAAGGACAAGGGCAAGAAGAAAATGATGGTGAGGGGATCTCAAAACAAGCCAAGGACAGCCCAGTACAATAAGCAAATGTACTAACTTCCTGCTGATTTAAAAGACTTTTTAGGACAACCCATTTGGGACCCTTCCTGTCTGTCAGGAGCTATTCCATTTCCCCATTCCTATTCCTCAATAAATTTTCCTACTCGGGGCTGGGGATTTAGCTCAGCGGCAAAAGCGCCTGCCTGGCAAGTGCAAGGTCGTGAGTTCAGTTCCTGGTACCGGAGAAAAACCAAAAAAAATAAATAAATAAATAAATTTTCCTACTCTTAAAAAAAACAAAAAACAAAAAACAAGACTTTTTAGAGAAGATAAGACTGAGTTAAGGATTAAAAAACAAGTAGAGGGTTCACCAAGTGCACAAGAGAGTAATGACATTTCAGGCAAAAGGATTACATATAGTAGTTAGAGCCAGATTAAGGGTTGTGAATGCCATGCTAGGGTGACTGGATTCAATCCTGTAATGAATAAGGATCCATTCAATGATTTTCAGAGAAAGAGAAAGAGAGAGAGTTAATTTATTTTTTATTCATATATGTTTGTTACATATATTGAATACATTCATCATGGGAAATTGGTATAAAAGATAACACCAATGGTAGCATAAAAGCTGGGCTAGAGCACTGAGTATCTAGAAGCAGGAAGATCATGTTACAGATCTTTGTGATATTCCAGGCAAGATGAAATGCTAAAGCAGTAGCAACGATTCCAGACCTATTTTGAAGATAGAATTAACAGAACTTGATGACCCAAATACTATCAGGAGTCCCAGAACTGGCAAGATCTAGATGTGTATCCAATTTCCAATTTAAAAAACGGAGTAAATGGTGGTAATATTAATCAGAAGGGATCATTCAATGAGATAGGTTTGTGGGAGACTACCTGGATTTCAGTTTTATACATATAGAGTTGGTAATGCCTATGGAGCACTAGCTGAGAAATGTCTCATTGTCAGTGGGTAATAGATTCTTGACAAGACTGTGGAAAGAGATTTAAGATAGTTATACTACTAATTTCTCTTAGTTCATTGAAAAGAAAGGATTCTGCCAATATTGCTTGAACAATTAAATGCCGATAGCTGTACTCGAGTAACTAATCTAAAGACAGCAATACATAATGTATTAACCATTGTTACCCTCCTATTACCTTGTTTTGAAATGTTGTTTTATTTTTTTTCTCTTTAAAATAAAAAAAAAAAAAAGACTGTGGAGAGAGACCTAGTATCCAGATATACAGTCTGGACGACAACTTATTTTTTGTAGCCTACATAAAACATACCCATCATATTTTTCTCAACCTCTGTAACTCACTAACAAAGGAAAAAATGTGACTCATCATATAATGAAATAAGCCACAAGAGGAGTCAGAAACAAATCTACTACTGCTGTTCCTTACCATGGGAAGAGTTTTTTCATTTGTTTGTTAGTAATAGAAACTCATAACTCAGAATGGCATGATAGTGCTAGAGTGTTCTTTAAAAAGCAAACAAACAACTCTTAGTTTTGAAAAATGAATGCTGCTTGCTCTTTAGATTTAAACTCATTCTTTTTGTAAATAAAAAACCCAAGTTTCCCATAGAAGTTTCATTTTATTATATAAACTCATATTCCAATGACAGTTTGAGGCATTTGAACAAGATTCTTTCCTTTATAGAAGGTACAAAATAAATATTTACTAGAGGAAATGAATGAATGAGTAGGCAGCTAGATAAATGAAAGGCATAGATTATATGATGGTATATTAATTTTGTTGTAAACTTGATATATACCTAAACATATGTAAGAAACATAACTGAGAGAGAAATACAAACTGTTTAGTTTTGCTCTATCAGTGGAAGAGAACAGAACTGTTGAGCTGACTGCCAGTTTCTTCTTTGAGTCCAGCTGCCTCAGGCACTACAGAAGAATTGAAATAGTTTTCTTTTAAGTTCTTGCTGGGTTAAATTATCAGTAGGTTCTAGAAGGTCTCGCAACTTGAGTTCTTTCGTGTAATTCCCAGCATAATTATTTTTGAACCTTAAAAATGTAGTTTTGATTATCTGAAACCAATGGAAGTCTGCCATTAGCAGTGCATAAGTACAAGTAGAACAAATTCATCACCACCACCTAGCTTTACACATGACCATTGTATGACTTCATATGCCTATTAAGAATTGCATGGGACTGTGGGTATGGCTCACCAGTAGATCACTTACCTGGCATGTGCAAGACCCTGGGTTTGATCCCCAGCACCACCAAAAAAAAAAAAAGTACCAACCTATGTTCTGTTCAAATCCCCTTTTCAGATTTTTATTCAAAATAACCTTTTAAAAACTGTGTTTGTATGTATAAAAGGTATTGTGGAATAGAAAGAAAATGTTCAAATGGGGTGGGGAACAAGAGAGAGGTGAGGAGGAAAGGAAAGTTAAAAAAAAGTGAGAAAGAAAGGAAAACATGGAAGCAGAGCTTTTGTAAATGGGGACGGCAGGAGGGTAGAGGAATGGAGAGAAAAGACTCAAGTTATATCATGCACAGGTACAAATTCCCTATGATGGATGTGATCACTATGTATATCTAAAATGTATCAAGAAAATCTGATTTTAAAAAGCCTGTGCTTTGTGCATTTCTCCATCTTGTGACATTTACAATGAGTCACCAGTGCATTACATATCCATAGCCCTTTCCTACCTGCATCTTGATGTAGTTTCTTTATCTTCAGTTAGCAACATCAGCACTACACCTAGGCATCTGCCAGCTCCCCTACACCATAAGTGGGAAGATTTCTTCCCAATTTCTGCCTCTCTAAGGAAAGAAGTATAGCTACCTGGAGTCTAAAGAAGACTGGACCTCAAGCTCAGTCGTGATAAGGCCCAGGCACCCACAGATCATTTATCTCTGGGTAAACACAACCTACTTCTAAATGAGTGAGTTAAAGGTAACAGGAAGACACAGGAAGACTGGAAATCCTTGACAAATTTTAAACTTTTGTTGAATACTTTCTCAGTTTTATTATACAATTTTTCTTTAATGAGTATTAACTGCTTGTATAATAGAATAAAGTCTCAATATTTTGTTTGTGTTTTAACGTAAGCAGTTTTGTACAATATCATATCCTTATATATGTGGATTCCACATTTTTGGATTCAACAAAATGTAGATCAAAAATATTTGAAGAGCCAGGCATGGTGGCACGTGCCTGTAATCCCAGCACTTGGGAGGCTGAGGCAGGAGGATTGCTGCAAGTTTGAGACCAGCCTGGGCTACAAAGTGAGCTCAAGGACAGCCAGAACTGCACAGGGACGCCCTGTCTCAAAAGACAAAAAAAAAAAAAATTGAAAAGAAAATACGTCTGCACTGAGCGTATTCAGATTTTTCCTTGTCATTATGCCCTAAACAATACAGTATAACTATTTGCATAGCATTTCCTTTGTGTTAAGTATTATAAGGAATCTAGAGATGATTTAAAGCATATAGGAAGATGTGCATAGCTTACACGCAAATCCCGCCAGTTAGACAGGACATCTGAGCCTCTTGGATTTTGGTATCCAAGGAAGGTCTCAGAATCAGTGTCTCTTTAATACTGAGGGACAACTATATGTGTTATGTATGCATATGCATGTGTGTGTGATCATATTTATAATTTAATGAAAGTAAGAAAATGCTTATGAATAAGTACATAATTCAATTTTAACATCTTGTAAAAAATTGTTAGTTACAATACAGAATGTTTAAATACTAATTGTGTATTTGTGTTGCTCTAGTTAGCAAAAATTGAAACGAATTTTGGTCTGGTTGTTTTTCTATGACACAACTGGGTGAAAAGCAGAACAACACAGAAGTTTCATAATGAAACTACAAACCACATTAGCCTTGTCTATTGTCAGGTTTTGTTACATTCCCTCTAACTCAACCCAGACTCCCTGAGGTTGGCTAATAGGGCAAAGTTTGAATCAAAACCATGCTTAGAATTGTAAGGGACACATTTGGAATTCTGGGGGACACCAAAAGAAATGTCACTTTTTTTCCTCCAGATGTGGAAAGTCTGTTACTTTCAATGTTTATTCAAATTCTAAATTCAGCACAACAAATAAAGACAATCGAGGTATTTATGTTTAAGACTTCCTTAAAGAAGGGACAAGTTAGGAAGGAGGATGAAAAAAGGGGACAGAGAGGAGGAGGGAAGGAAGGAAGGAAGGAGGGAGTGGAAGGGAGGGGAAGGGAAGGAAAGAGAGAAGGAGGGAGAGGTGTCATAACCAAAGATTAGGTTTAATCTAATTCTGTGGCCCTGATATCCAAGAAGGCTATATGTCTGAGGGAGATTGTGTTCAAGGATGATGATTAAAATGATTTAAAGCACAGAGTCTTACTCTAAGGGAAAAAATCTAACGTAGTAGAACATACTTGGTTACTCTGCCTCTACCATTTATACTTTTCCACTACTTTAGCTGTCTGTAAAACAACAAACTATAAAATAATTTTCATCTCAATTTCTCAGTTATTTTGCTTATGTAATACTCAGCATTTATTGAATAATAACTTCATTTTAGGGACTGTGCTAAGTATGTTATATACTGTATTGTTATAGGTTAACACTTATTCCTCACTCCTGGTATTTCCTTCCATATGGGATAGCACCCACCACTACAGTTACTAATTGCCAAGAAAAGAGGACAGACGTGGATGCATACAGAATGAGGAACACACGATGAAGATCAAATATAACTGAAGCGCTTTCCCTTTTCTGTCCTCCTTTAGATACTCCCGCCTGCAGAGCACATGTGTTTGTCCGCTCTCAGCAAAGCCAGTAGCAAAGTGGTAATGGCCTTGGCCCTTCATGGCTGGGAAAGACAAGTGGAATCCAGACCTGGGTGCAATGCTGATCCACAAGAAGACTGTGAGGAATACTGCAGCTTAGGAAGGTTAAGGTTATAAGTTTGTTTTTAATAAACACAAAATGCATAGATTTTACATATTTCACTCTGGGAGACCCCACAAGGAAAAACCTAGAAGTGTGTGTGTGTGTGTGTGTGTGTGTGTGTGTGTGTGTTTTAAAAAAGCATGTTGGACCAGAAAACCAAAAGAAAAAGAAAAATGTCTGTATAAAAAAGCAAAGGTGATACTCAAAGCCAGCAAATAGTACTAGCTTTATCATAGGCACAGAAAGAAAGGGACCAAACTAAATTATAGTGTCTTTTGTTATAAACTCAGATTAGTCTTTCTGAAAAATAGTTATGGAACAGAGGAGAGAAATATAATACTAGAGGCTTACCCCTTTGCTGCAGAGAAATACATAGCAGAAAGAAGAGATTCTCAAGACTTGTAATAGTCAAAGTGAGGAAAAGACAAGATCTTGAGTAATGCACAATATAGGTATAGAAATACACTAGGCCTACAGAAGAACAGGTTTCAAAAGCAAGTGTTATGACTTGTGTTTAGAGTCCCTCTAAAGGTTCATGTGGTCATAGGTGAGGCTTTTTCAGAGGTAACTGGATCTGGTGTGTGATGCTGGAATTGATTCATGGTGCCATGCTAGAATCAAGGGCACTAGGATTAAGGGTATGCATACTACCCGCCCTAAGTAGCATGGATAAGATATAAGGGATAGAAGAGTTGTGGTCATCTTCTTGTTGCTTTGCTGCCTTCTTCCTGCCATGAACTGTTTCTCTTCTGTGATGCTACTCTTCCTTAGAGCCAGCTGATTATGGACTGAAACCTCTACAAACTGTGAGCTAAATAAACCTTTCCTCCTTTAACTTTGGGTGTTGGGAATTTTGTCTCAGCAATGAGAAGAGTAACTAAAACAACAGGCTTAATTCAGGACCCTGCTGACTTAAATTCTAGGACTGAATAACAACTGTAAGAAATAGGAGGAAGGCATCTATGGAAACAGGTGTCTCAGGCTATAGTAGGAGTGTCACCTATGGCACAGGTTTAAAGCAATTGGTCCTAAGACATGGAGGCCATTGCACTAGATAAAGCTCCATATTTTAGCGTACGTGCCAAAAACATGGTACCCTATGGGAAAATAGGAATTAAGAAATTTAGAATATGTTAGATAAGAAGGAAAGGCACTTAGAGCAAAACCTGTTGGCTGTGGCCACCATAACGTGAGGACTGAAAACCTCGGAAGCCAGAAATATCACAGATGCCACCCTCTGAGAAGGGAGAGCGTATGCAGCAGTGGCTCTTCCTCCCAGATTGGAAGTGAGAGACTAATTATTTGATGGGTGATTTCTCAATTGAATTTAAGCTCGTAGTTTCTTGACTCAGAAAATTGGAAGTGACTGACATCAAACTATTCAGGAACTGAACCACTTGTCATCTCACTGCTATCACCCTCGTCCAAATCACAATCATTTCTTTCCTCGATTATTGCAACAGCTTCTCAAATAATCCTCCTGCTTCTACACTGAGCTCCTTAAAGTCTTTTCTTAAGAGGGCATCAGGAGTGATCACTCCGTACATCTTATAGGAATAGCTCCCACTTAGGGAGAGCCACAAGTTCAACACTACTTGATGTATGACGGGAGTTCCATATTGGCAAACCTACTGCTGCCACACATCAAAGCCAAATCCTCAATCTGCCATTAGCAGTGTTTAGTGGATGGTATTTTTATCACCATAAGAAACTTTCTGATACCCTATAGCACCTCTGTCTTTGTCCAAATTGAGATTCTTGAACATTTGCCGATTAACAAAACTTCTGTAATGGCATCATCTGTCATTGACAGATTTGTCTGGATTCTCTGTAAAGCACTGATTTATACAATAATTTGAACATTTTCTTTGAAGTTATTTTATAAAAATGAATGAAACACAAAAAATAAGTACTAATAGTAAAACAAAATGGAAGTTATTAAGCATGTTAAAGGCAGGAAACATTCAGCCTCATTAAATTATTCTTAGACTTAAACTGGTCAACTATTTAGTTTAAAATTCAAGGAACACCAGGTTTCAGAAAAAAACAATAAAATTCAAGGAACAAATTTAAAGTATTTGTATAAAATTCAGACATGTAGTGACAGAGAAAATAGATCCACACAATTATGAATTGGAAATAAGTATCAAGAAATATTTCAGAGACTGAAATACAAAGGGAAACTTCATTTCCATAGCATGGATATAGTATGTGGCTTGATTTCTTTATAAGAAAAAAACTCCTAATGATTAACTTTCTCTTGAGAAAGTCAATATACA